TAACCTGCTAAATTCGTTGCAAGGTTATCATGCTGTTATATACGAACAAACATGTGGCGGCAAAACGGTCTGATTTTGCAGTAACCGAATGGAAATTAAATTGAAACCAGTAAATCTACTTAATCTGCTCAATGACATACTTTCAACACTGAGCTCATGCGCTTTACTTAACTTTTTATGGAACAATGAAAGTGAAAATGAAAATGGTAAATCTACCCTATTTGTTTAACAATGCAAATTTCACATATAAATAAATAAATAATAATAAATAAGTAATTTAGCGATGGACATTCCACTGGGTGGCTCTTCTTGTCCACTGTTTCCAGATCGAATTGGAATTTGGAATGTTGGTTTTTTTTTCACATATTACCACTGTGCTTGACTGATCATGAACAAAACAATGAAAACGAAAATAAAATGGTTTATTTCCTGCACATGACACAGATTTTAACGATAACCCATCCTTTAGTTGCAAAAATCTTCTTTGTAACATTACTCGAATCACGTTCATGCGATCATAAGCGCATTTTTCTGTTTCAAATTTCCACCAGAAGGCGAACTTTATTTCAATGGTTCTTCCTTCCTCAAATAAGAAACTTACTCTGTGATTACAATAGAATTAAATTTACTCTGGTGAATCTACCTATCTCCTCAATAATGCAGATTTCACAAATGATTGATGAGCTTGACTAACCTTTTACAGACACGATGAAAGTGAAACTGAAAAGGTAAATTACCCTCATGCCATAAAGATTTCAAAGGCAATAATCATCTGTTTGCGTAAAGATATCATTACAGAAATAGATTCATGTCATCCTCAAATCATTCGTGTAAATTTTTATTTCTAACCGATTTGTGTCCCAGAGATTAAATCTTGACGTCACTCTGAAGCAAGCACCTCTAGTAATTGCAGACTGAGTTAAATATGTTAACTGCCGTAATCAAATTCACCTAACACCTCCTTTTTCAACATCTTTCAATAAGACACATTTCATTGTAATTTTAAGTTTAGAAACAAGTGCTACTCGCACAAAATACCTTTTGGCATTTTACTTGATCATGTCTGCATAATGCATTAACACCTGCATAATTATATCATCACTACCGAACGGAAATGGCCCAAAATGCTAATATTTTAGTTAAAAACATTGACAACAACTGATGATAACTTTAACATTGAACTCCTCTTATACTAATAAAAACTTCGACGAAAACAGAATAAAACATTTGAACAAGCATCTAAACGGACTGGTTTTCTAGCACGAGGGAAAATACTTCATTTCGTATACAACTAATACAGGTCACTTTCATGAATACTTGGAAACTAATAATTGGATTTAACTCTTTGAGCCTTGACTATTTAAAGGCCGCATCTCCGCACGCTCTTTTATCTCTTTACTTTTTTTCTCCATTCGAAGATTCCTTTGCTCTCAAAGGGATCAAACATCTCTTGGTTTTAATGACATTAGAGTACTAAATGTCTTAGCTAAACAATACCCTCTATCCTTCAACCGGAAATAAAAGATTCTGTAAAAACAGGAATCAACATTTAAACATACATAAAATAATAAAGGAACTGCATATTAACCCAAAGGAATGAATACCTTCCATTACTAACAGTAACGTGTACAGGTTCTCACAAGTGAAATGAATATTTTCATGAAAAATTGAAGATAAGTAATTGAATGACATTCTTCACGCTGTGATTCTTCTGCTCTCGTGATAAATCAGTTCCCCCAAATGTTTTTAGTATAAGGAACAAACGTATCACGCATTTGACTGCAGATTCTAATCTTTAGCTCCAAATGTTGATGGTATTTGAAAATCCTCGCATACTGTTTTGAGGAACGTTATGTAATTATTGAAGACATATGACACGTACGTTATTTGAAAAAGTACTCACCTGTTAAATCTCTTGCAAGGATATCATTTTGTCATCTCATGAACAACACTGATGTAATGGCAAAACGGTCTGATTTTTAATAAACGAAAGGGAAAATGAAAGTGGTAAATCTAGCTTATCAACTGAATAATGCATCTTTCACAAATGGCTGATATGTTTACCTCTTATAAACACGACGAAAGTGAAAATGGAAAAGGTAAATTTACCTTCACTTGTTTAACAGCGCACCCATAGAGTACGCTTGACTGAACATAAAGAAAGCGAAATGACGCAGATTTCATAGCCTGCGAAGCAAGCCCTGGGGGAGAGGAGGGGGGATTGGGAAGCAAGCCCTGGAGGAGAGGAGAAGAATTGGGGCGAGGGGAGAGGGACCTCCTTCTCCCCTCGCCCCAATTCCCCTCCTCTCCTCCAGGGCTTGCTTCCCAATCCCCCCTCCTCTCCCCCAGGGCTTGCTTCGCAGGCTACAGATTTCAACGATAACCGATCTTTTGCTCTCATAAATGATAAGTTTACCTTTTATAGACATGACGAAAGTGATAATGGAAAAAGTAAATTTACCTTATTTGTCTAGCAGCGCACTCAAAGAGTACGCTTGCATAAGGAAAATAAAGAGAGCGAAATGGCACAGATTTCAACGATAACCGATCATTTGTTATCATAAAGTTCCTTTGAAATATGATTGATTTTCAAGGAAAGTTTGAATTTCACCACAAGTTACAGTCTGTAAGAAAGCGCTCCTCGAGCGAACGGCCATCTGACTGTCGGAAACTATAGACAATAATTTTGTCGTGGCGTCACACCGAGGGACCGGAAACAAGTGAATGAGATTACGATCTTTGTTTTGTTAGGGAAAAAAAGGTCATCTAATTCTGCTCAGCTCGTTTGTTGACCTGCAGATATATTGCGGAAATTTGTCTTTTCTAGAATATAAAAAGTGGTTTTAAAGAAAACGTGTTTTGGTGCGTTTTCGATAAACAATGCTCCTTCTTTGCTCGTTTTAGAAAATCTATGACTTGCCTTAAATGAAAGTTAAACTGATAATTCTACATTATCTCCTTAGAATGAATAAACAAGCCTAAGAGCATCAAGATTATGACCAATTCAGATGAGAAATGCCACGAAATCATCGCAGACAGTAGTATTCCTTGCAAAGATATTTTGTTACGTCATGAGCAAACAGTTGCGGGAAAACGGTCTGATAGTATACTAAACGAAATGGAACTGAAAATGATAAAGGTGAATCTACCTAATCTACACAATAATGCACCTTTTAGTCCTTTCACAAATGGCTGATATGCTTGAATAAACCTTTTCCAGACACAGGGAAAGTGAAAATGGAAAACGGGTAGATTTCCCTTATGCCATGACGATTGCAAAGATACGGTTCATATGTTCGAATAAAAACATTCAAGATGTAACTTTATGTCATATTCAAGTCATTCGTATAACTTATCATTTCTAACTGATTTATTGCCCTTTTGTACTAACTTACTCACACATTCAAGCAGCACATGTCGCTAAAAGTATCTTTCGTAAAATTTGCGCCCGAAGACGAACTCAGTGAAAGGTTCTTAACGCTAAACCTCAAACCAACGATTTGAGTTAACCAGCCGACTAACAGTAACAAACTCAACTGGGGAACTTAGTGACAAGAGTAAACATGGTGCTTGTTCTCTTCCCTAGAAACATAAGATTAAAACGAATTGTAGAGGTAAAGGAAGTTGTTGTCTCACACGCATCGCGGACCTAGTTTATTAGAATATTCCCTGTGAAGCTCATCACTCTCCGAAATCAGATTTTACCAGGTTTGTAGATGAGGTCAAGTCGGTGCATTACTTTCCGTGACGATGTAGACGACAAAGAATACGAAACCTCCGTGGTAGTTGTTCACTTTGACTCGATAGCACTAAATTAATTGGGAAACTCCTCAGGTTTAGGGGGAGTAGGAGAAGGATGTAGCATTAATGTTGCTCATTATACATACTTATTCTCTAATGCGCTTACTAACACTTGTGCGAGACTTTGGCCAGACTGTATCGGGCAGTTTACACTTGCTTTTTTTCCAAAATTTTGCGTATGCCCCCAATTTTAGAAACAAGGCCAGACCAACGAACCCGGAGCTACCTTCCTTGCTCTTTCAGTGCGAGAAGTACAGGGGTTCTTTAACATGCCATGTTAACTAGTACACAGAAGATGAAGGAGACGGGGCCTACGGTTTACACTTGTCATCCTAGAGGACTGTTCAACGCTCGTAATCCCGTAGAAGCAATAAGCTTCAGGAAAGTGAGTTTGATGTTCCTAGAAGGAACCCCTTTGGTCGCATTTGAGCAGTGTTTGACTAGAACGTATTGTATACAAGTGCGTCCGACCCTTTTTCCTTACTCATCAGTCTTCTATTACGTTTTATTAAAAACTGGATCACTGGATAATGGAATTCAAGACTTTTCATTGGCTTAGCCGTTATGGTATATGAGCCAATATACCATAATCTACAAAAATGGTAAGCGCCTCGTTGGCTATCTATCATCTCATATCCAACGCGCGCTCGTGGAATAATTGTTGATTAATTAATAAGGAATTAAATAAGCATGGGCTGCTGGTGACAGGTCTTGCTCAAAACAACTTTGTAGTGTTTGCTCTTATCATGACAAGCGTATAGAAATCATATCATCGAAAATAAATCAAACAGTGAAGCTGCATGCGTACCATCATCTAAAACTCTAAGGAATCGAAAGTGCCCGTCTAGCTAACTTCTTGTTAATTTTCAATAGAAATACACTCGGTGATATTCATTTTAAATCCCAAAAGTAAGCACGCAGGAGATTTATTTGCACTGTTTTATTGCTTCAAATATTCAAGACTTTAAAGTAGTTACACAATTTAGAATAGCAAGAAAAATAGAAAAAGAAACTAGGTTAAAATAACATAAAAAAGTTGCACCTACAATAACTGGTTTTTATTTGAGTATGTGATGCTTGCAAGTAAAAAAGTAACTTTTTCCTTTCTCATAAATTTAAAATACGTTCTTTTCTACAAGCTTTAACGTCCTAGGCTTTGAATATATAGTTGCAGCATAGCTTTTTTTTTTTCATTTTTTAAAAAAAACTTATCTACCACTAGTAGAACGGGTTGTAGCAATGGAACAATTTTCTATTTTACGGAAGTAAATATTTGGCCTGCAAAACAAAAAAAGACAGCGGTATATAAGTAATGCTGAAAAATTCAACAAATGATTTAGCAATTAAAATGTAGTCATCTCTGGTAGGTCTTCTCGCTGAGTTAAGTTATATTTTGCATTTCAAGTTTGCATCTCTAAGCCAATCACGAAGACTGCAAATTCACATTAGACATTGCGTGGCAAGGGTCACAACAGTGGTTGCGTTAATGCTCTCACACAACATCTTGCATAATGCATGATATACAAAATTGTTTTTTATAATCATCTTCAAGAGTAAGAACAAAGGCTTGTAAACTGTACAACGAGGAACTCCTCTTTCCCTCTCCAAGACTTTATCGGGATTCAAGTTCCTGCATAGCCATGTCCTTTCCACTCCCTCTCCTGCAATTTCTATCACCCCGAGGTTGTAGGGAGTATGTTCAGTAAGGGCAGAGTGTCCTGAAACAACACACTAATGTGCGGAATTGAGGGTGTAACGAGAAATTTATTGTAGTAAATAACCAAGACGAAAGTGCCCTCGCCAAAGTGTCATACCTATTCTAAGATACACTTTTCCCCCTTCGCCATACTTATGTGTCTTCTTACCTTATACAATTGGACGCTATGGAAAATCATCTCCTTGGCACTCCCTGGGTCTCAGTTTATCTATGAGCAGTTTCAGCTCTTCGAATTCTTCGAGTTCAAAAACCTCGTCCTCACTGGAAGCTATTGTCAGCAGTTCATCGCGAACTACTATATCCCCAACTCCGACTGCAATCGACGTCATGTTCGGGATGTTCTTGATTTGGTTCGCTTTAACACTTAAGTCCGCCACAGTGTCTGTATTTCTGCCGTCCGTGAAAAAGATAAACAGCTTTTTCACCTTAAAAAAAGAAAATAATTCATCATGGGTTAAAAACTACAAATAAAGTCAGCTTAGTAGCCAGAAATACCATAGGAGCTAATCCCGGCTTTAGTAGAATAAAACTTTCCAAGAGTGCTGCTTCTCTCCAACTTCCCCTCCCTGGATGGGCTCACTGGATGGGCTCCCTGGATGGGAGACTTGTTTCGAACTAAGTATTGATTTAGTTCCAAGCTTTAGTTGTTAAAACGGAGCACGATTGTTGGTCCCTCGTTTTTTCACTCCGTCTTACTACCTGAAAGTTTGGAATATCCTATCTGACCACGCCCTGCCAAAAAATGGAGCTCGGGATAATAGTCCACAGGACACCCAGCCGGGGCAGTAACCAATGAGTCTTTGCGTTTCCCTAATTGCCATAAGTATACACCACTTGAAAAAAAAAAAAGCCTTTCTTTTAAGTTTGTAAGTTTTGGTCAAGTTTCGTACTCTTAGCAGCTGTCTTGATGTAAAGTGAAAATACCTAATATTGTCATAACATTTCATTTTGATTTACAAAATTCAAAGATGCGCGATAGAGTTTCGACAAGATATTTTTCGGGTTTCTTTCCACTTGATCAAGAGAACACGGAATACAGAGGAGGAATAGTAACAATTAGGGCGTTGGCCGGGATCTGTATGGTGGCCTAGGAAAGCCATAAGAAAATTGTGTAGTATCTTGTTAGTTTCCCGTTATTTATTATGCTATTTCATTTTATTTTTAAACTTCAAACGAAAAAAAAATTGTATCGAGATACTTTAAATCAAAAAGTAAAATAAACATTTTTAATTAATAGTTAAATGGAGCAAAAATAATCTTGTCTTAGCCTAGCAGTGACATAAGGTTTTTCTTGAAAAAAAAAAAAAATTCGCTCGTGGCCTATCGATTGCCATAACCCACAATGCACTTGGGTCATGACAAAGATGGCGGGAAATCAAATCAGGAAGGTCACTGGATGCAAGATCAAACGCTTGAAGATGATTTATCAAAGTACGTTCCGTAAAACCTGAAAAAAAAAGGTGAGATTTTAGACTTCATAGAATCGAAATACCCAATGGAATGAGCGAACTTTAGCACGCAGGCTGCTGTACTTTGACATTAAGTTCACGAATTATGAAGCGGATATTGAGGATGTCAAAGAAGCTGACACGCGAAATGGATGGTTCGGGACAGCTGCTTGGTTATCGTTCCATGCAACAAAAGGTACGCGAGATTCACGGGCTAAATGTGCCCCATGTTCTTGTTTACACTGTGATGAAAGTTTCCCCAGAAGGGCTTCAAGCTAGAGGAGGTGTGGGAAAAAAACAAAGCGCCACCGGAGAACCAATACTTTTGTTCCTGGTGTAAGTGGGCGTTTATCCGTTTTTTTTTTTACTCGAAATGACGCCGCGTTGAAATAGCTAGTAGGAGTAGTTATAACACTATTTTCTTTATTTTCTGGATTCGAAAGGGAGTGGACTGCACTATGTCTTTAGATGGCCATGACAAGCTTTGCGGATACCAGAAGGTGATGTTTCCTTTGTGTATCTACAGTGCACAAGACACGTACAGTGCCAGGATAAATTTCTTAAGAATTTTGACTTCAAACAACAACCCGAAAATTATAGGAAAATTCTAGCTGGATTATCTTTATGAATGCCGAGGTAAGATGTTTGTTGCCCAGCAACTTCAGTTGGCTAGATAAATGTTCAGTTTGTTTTATATAAGATATATGTGTTTGTTTTTGCCAGGTAATTGCTTCGAGAGAGCTCCTAGTGACCCCTCTCACCTTCTATAATTTTATCATGTCAGCGGTCGTAACCCTTTAAAAAAGTAAATGATTATTTGCTGTGTTCTCCTGGCTGTGTCATTCTATTTCACTTTACGAAACGGTTACGACCGCTGACACGATAAAATTATACTTACGATGCAGTGAAAGTGTGACCGAAAAAGGGTTTAACCACTTCAATTCAATGACTTCTTGTAGATGGAGTGTGACAACATTTGTTTCTGGTTCTATAAGCTGGCCCACTTTCAGCATTTGACGAAGAGAGACAAAACGCGGTATTACGGACGATTTTGTAACAGCTGTAGCCGCACTATTGCACTCTCCTGGGCTAACTGGCTCACGTTTATGTAATGGCCGGACGAAGACTGGTTGGTCGGCGTTTTGCGACTGCTCATATTCCACAAATCTGATGTGAATGACCTTCGGAGTAGTCTTTGATCCGACTTTCACGCGTGTACAAGGGCCCGCGTTCGGCCGCGAGGACATCACATTTGCAATTTGTTCCAAAATGCGACTTACAGGCCTCCATGATATTTTTTAAAGTTGGTTCTTTGTCGAATAGCACGAGGGTTAAAGGCCCAATGCGGTTGCAGTGGCGGATCCAGGGGGAGAGTCCGGGGGGTCCGGACCCCCACAAAGAGCTGACGCTTACAACTTTGAGACTGAAACTCTTACATCGACATGATTGTATATCCCCTTTTAACTGATACGATGACTATATGAAGTTCCTCTGGCTGATTTTTTTAATGAATCCAAGTAAACGGTAAGCAGCCAAGGAATTTTGACGTGCAACCGCGAGTGGTAAGAGGGGGTGTGGGGGAGAAGTAATTTGCCTCAAAAGAGTCTAACAGTCCTTTCTGAACCAAGGTTTGGACCCCCCCAATCAAAAATTCCTGGATCTGCCTCTGGGTTGTACTTTTGGCACTTGCCTTGAACGTTTGCCGATAGTCTCTGCACAGTCAAGGTGCCTTCAGATCCCCTGGGGCTAGCTTTAACGCTCTTTGCACCTACCCGTCTCTTTCCTTGGCGCTCCTTGTAGTCGTCCCATTGCTTACGTTTACCCGACATGATTAAAACAGGAAATTACCATGCGAAATCGTATAAAAACACACTGGAAGTGCTTCAATCGCACATCGCTTAGGAGCCACGCAAAAGATCACCGAGGAGGATTGTGGGCTATGGCATCGATAGGCCACGAGCGCATTTTTTTTCTTTTTTTATAAGAAAAACCTTATGGCACTGCTGGGCTAAGATAAGATTATTTTCGTTCCATTTAACTATTTATTAAAATTTTTTATTTTACTTTTTGATCAAAGTATCTTGATATAATTTTTTTTTCGTTTGAAGTTTAAAAATAAAATGAAATAACGTAATAAATAACGGGAAACTAACAAGATACTACACAATTTTCTTATGGCATTCCTAGGCCACCATAGATCTGTCCATTTTCAAATGTAGACGGAAACGGAAGTCTGTCTCCCTTGAATTATCATTTACTTTGAGACTATTCATCATTCACTTTTTTTCTTTTTTGGTCTGGTTTACTTAACTGACGAGACTAAAGGGAGGGGATAAAAAACTATAGTACTTACATCATTGCCTCTCATTCCATTCTTGGTAGAAAACATTTCCTTCAGCGCCACCTCCAGACCATCTCCAATATCAGTCGCCGCACCCCTGAGGGCTCTCACGTTTTCCACCTCTTTTAGAAGTAAGTCTGGATCTCGATATTCATCATCATTAAAGTAGATTTCCATAGTTCCTATGCTCGCATACTGCAGCAAGGCAACATGAGTTCCATCCTCTGAGATGGAAAAGGCCTTGATGACGTCTTTGACAAAATCTTTGGTTAGGCGGTATTCATTGTCGTCGATTGAATTGGAGCCATCTATGGCGAATCCTACGTCAAACTTGACATTTCCACCGCAACCTGACAAGGTACAAAACACAGATTATCCCGATTATATCCAACAAGTATATTTGCCAAAACGCATCGCGTGACCGATTTTTCCCGAATAAAACTGAGGGATACCCGAGGATATTAATAATACTTCCCAATTTTCAAACCTTAAGTCTGACACGGAAAACTCTGTGCTTAAAATTTAACTCAGGATGAGAAACGTTGTTTTTATTACAAAAGAAAGATTTTTTTTTTCATAAAATTGTATCACGGAACTCTGAAAAGTGAACACCTCAGTTCGTAAACGGTAAGCTATTTGTAAACGTTTTTTCCGCGCTTAAAAATATTTGAAGGATAGCAAACACAAAAGCCTCCATTCGGCGCGAAAATATGTTCGTATATTTGTCCTCGGACATTATCTGTTCTTCGAAGCTCAAAGTTTTCCTCGAGCTTTGCACTCGGAAAATTGTTCACATCTCAGAACAGATACTGTTTGCGGATAATTTCGCGCCAAATGGAGGCTACCTTGTTTTTATTATATGGCTAGGTAGTCAAGAGTTATACCGAGTGTTTTGATTGGTTCTTACTTGGACGGGATTTTACCATACAGTCAAACCAAGGCCGTGTATTTTTGTTCTCGAAAGCCGGCATACTCATTACTTGCAACTAAAACTACGAGAAAGTAAACCCTACAAATGTGCTCATTCTTAAAAAGACACTACCAAAACTAGTCGACGAGTCTCGGTTATTCTTATACGGACCACGCTGCGCTCGGTTCGTTCTCCCAAGACCTCGGTCTAACATTCACCACCTCGGCCCTCGTGCTTTAAATTGATTATACAGAGAGATGTTGACGATCTGCCACAAGGGAACAAAGAAAAAAATGGGGCACATAGAGGTCTTACTTTTGATTTGACACTGTGGCCCGGTAAATCCTAATTTGCAGTCACAGCGGAAGTCCCTCTTTCTCTGTGCGCATTTTCCATCATTTTGGCAAGGCTGGTCTTTACATCCGCACTTCGTTACCTTGACGAATAATCGAGCGGGATCCTCTTTTTCCCCTTCTTCAAAGCTAACGGATATGTCCAGCGGTCTCTCACGCAAATCTTCGTCTTCGGATACGAAGTCCCGCATACAGCCTTTAAAACCAGCTCTTACCCCCGTCCTTTCAAAACTGAAAGGCAACGAATGGATTTGTTGTAGAACTTTATATAAAAAAAAAATTTACATTATAGACCTGATTTTATTACTTACAAATTTAGCAAATCCAAAGAAAAATTCAAACGCAAGATATCTACCAGAGCGCGGTAAATATTATTTTCGAGATTGTTGAAAACGAGCTGGTCACGCCGACTGAGAGAAGTCGGTAAGGATGGTTGTTTGTCTCTCCAAATCGCTTTCGTGTCACTTACATGATAGCAGCATTAGCTGTAGACCCTCCACCAATGTATACTCTTTCCTGTAGTAAACTGGAATATAGCGCGGTCGAGAAGCCTGATACTCTTGACGTGAAGTTTTTGCTGTCAACTACTAAAGACCCCAAGGCTACACCTGCGCCCACGATATCAATGTGCGCCTCGATACTAGACCAAGCGTTCAGTTGCAGGGCGAAGTCCGTGCTGATTGTAGTGCTAGCTCTGCCTTGGCGAAGTTTGAACCTACAAGAAATGGATCAATCAATCAATCCGTCAGTCAGTCAGTCAGTAAATGAGTCAATAAGTCACTCCATCAGTCCGTGAGTCAGTCGGTCTGTAGGTCAGCTAGTTAGTCAAAAAATTAGTTATTCATTCAGTCATAGGGGAAGTCGGTCAGGCAGTCACTTGGTTGGTCAGTTAGTCAGTATGTAAACCAGTCGAAATAGTTGCTCAATCAGTCCGTGAGTTAGTTGGTCGGTCGGTCAGTGGGCCAATCTGTTAACACAGTGAATCACTAGGTCGGTTAGTTAAGAGGGCAAATCAATGAATAAGTATATCAAACTATCAGTCAAGATGCTATTAAGTCGGTCAGGAAATCGTTCAGTAAGTCAGCCAGTCAGTCAAATCAATAAAGGGGGTAAGTTACCAGAGAAACTATGGTGCTGCGTCGGTGGGGGTAACAAGGTAGTTTGTTTTTATCAACTAAGTTCATGATGTACATTGGCCACCGGAAAAGAGTTTAAAAGCTGATGTTTCGAGAGTTAGCCCTTCGTCAGAGCGAACGACGAAGGGCAAACGCTCGAATCGTCAGCTTTTACAGTCTTCTACGATGGCCAATTTACGATGGCCAACTCAGTTGATAAAACCAAATAAACTAGTCAGTCAGTTAGTCAAACAGTTGGTCAGTTAGCAAGGCAGGTAGACAGACACTCGGTCGGCCTAAGGTTAGTCAGCCTCTAAGTCAATAGGTTAAATAGCCAGTCAACTCGCTCTGTGGAAGGACTACTATTGAAAAAATCAGCTTAAGAAACTATCTACAGTGGCCAATTTACATAATAAACTTAATGGATAAAACCAAATTATCTGGTTATGCCCCGTACCAATTCATGTCCAAACTTTAAAAGGAAAATCGCCACCTCTATTAGCCAGACAGACACATAGTCACTCGGTCTTTACGTCAGTGAGTCAGTTGGGTCATTCTGGTCATTTTTACGCTTTAAGTCTTAGTTCCTATTAACCGAGCGGGAGGCCTGTATGGGAGAATCTTGACCGAGGTCGCCGGTACAGACCGAACGCAGTGAGGTCTGTGCCAGCGACCGAGGTCAAGATTCGCCCTATACAAACCCACCTTGGTCGGTTAATAAGATGTTTATTATATGGCTGTGTCTTATATGCCAATTTTTTATATTCTTTGTACCTTTTTTCTCTAGGCCGGTCTAGATGCCGGTCGAGATGGGAAAATCTAGACCGCTTTCAATATTGATTTCAGCCAATCAAATTCGTGAATTCGGTAGTTCCCAGTACTTGTGAGACACAGGCATATAATAACTAACAACTATTCATCGAAGTGGAGGTGGTTAGTGGTGGGTATTTACCGAGCCGCGAAGCGGGGAGGTAAATATCCCCCGCTAACCACCAACACTGAGGTGAATAGTTGTTTTCGTATATACTAAAAGGGTGAGATAATACACACCACCAAAAATTGAGTTTAATTCAAACATTCCAGCAACGATTCCAACATTTTCACGCGCGGAAGTGAACAAGTGAGGTTACGCAAGATTAATTTCCATTTGTAAACAAAACCTTTCTCATTGGTTTTTATCGATAAACTCCGGGTTAAAAACCTAAACCATTACCTTTAAACACGGCTAAACCAAATTTAGCCGCTTTCTTTTTGTTTTCAGAGACTGCTTCGTCGTTAATTTGAGTGATTTCTTCGCTTGTCACGGACGCCATTTTATCCCGAGTTGCTCGTAGGTAAATAGCAAAGGATATTCGGAGTTTGACTAGCCAATCAGAGCGCGCCTTCAACGCTATCCACTGTTTTAGTATATATTAACTACCCATTTCAACGATTTTAATTCCCAACCCTTCCATCAAAAAACGAGTAACGCTCCTCGACCATACCTGAATTGAATCTGGCCATTAATTATGGCTAACGAAATGAAAGCGTTCGCAGATCCCGAGTACATGATAAGGCCATTATTTTGCTCAGGTCGAATACCAAAGACAGCACTGAATACGTCTACCCTCGTCGTAAACATTAAATTCCAACGCCAATTCATGTAGGCACTACCCAATGCGATAGCTCCACCTTGGAAGTAAGGTACATTAGCTGAAACAAAGAATGAAACAGGACAAATTTAGATTTGCTAAAGAGGATTCTTGAACTGAAAACAAGATTTGGTTGGAACAGTACTTGAAATGTGAACCCATTTTCAAGCAGGCTAACATACTCGAACTCAGAGGAGAGCTATTGTTCAGAGTTTGGGATTTTTATTTAATCAATCGCGCGATAAACACGCTTGGTTTTCGTTTGATTGAACAATGAGAGGTGCTAACGCAAGTGGCTTAAATAGCATGGGTCAAGCAGAAGAGAAGATGTGCTGCCAGTGTACCTTACAGTGTAAGTTAATTAATGTAAAACTGTTACCATCTTTAAAGCAAAGCAAATTGAACGTAGAAAAATAATGGATTAAAAAAAAAAAACGAGGTCTCAGTACCTAGAATTTAAATAGTGATGCCCTAGTAAAATAACGACCTAAGTTGATTAATTCAAACTAATATAAGAGAGCAAACTAACAAACAGTGGAGAGTTTCTTGCATGCGAGCTGATCAAATCTATCACAAAATAAGGAGAAAGTTTACATGGACAAAAGCTTGAGTTAAGCTGTCGTTGAGTTAAATTGTATGATTTCTTAACGATAGAAAATAGTCCCTTAGTACTTTTTTCGTGGTTGAGAAAAGTAAGTGAATTTCGTGGTGTGAGGGGAATTTTGCTCACAATTCAGTGGCCCTTGACCCGTAGAGAAAAAGAGTATTTGTGAGCATAAATTTACGGTATTTTTTCGAGGAGGCGACCTTTGAACCAAATGCACAAATAGCTCAAATTTATTTCCATGCTTTTTCAAAATTCACTTTTGCTTCCCATCGCAGGGGATTTGCCATTAACCAATTCACTCCCAGGGATAACCAATTCTCTCCCAGGGATAACCAATTCACTCCCAGTGATAACCAATTCACTCCCAGGGATAACCAATTCAATAAGTTAATTCTCTGGACATTATCAATCCACCATCAGGCAGAAAGGTAATGAGCAGAGGATATCAATTGATTAATCACCAAATTCCTGAGTTTAAAATTAAAGGAAATGTTTGACAGACAATAAGGATAACAGACATTCAAAGATTGAGAATAAAAATGTTGACGGTACACACCTCGTAGTTGACAGCGATCACCCAGAAATCCTTTCGGGCAGTCACACCTTATTTTGTTTTGAAGAATTGAACACCCGCCGCCGTGTTCACACGGAGTCATCAAGCACATGTCTTCCGCGCCCTTTGTCATGTAAAAGGCGTTCACACCGTTCAAAGGTTGGCCCTTAACTAGGCCTTGTAAATGCAAGTCGTAATGCACACCATTGATGATAAGTTCTGCCATCAATCCATAGAAACCAGCTTTTACTCCAAGTAGTCCAGTGCTGATGCAAAAAAAAAAAAAACAAACAAACAAAACATGATATTTACGTCAGAATTTTATAAAAGCGAACGACTTTCCTTCATCGGTATATGGGACAACAATACTGAAGAAAGATGTTTCAAGTTTAAACTCTAAGAAGCCGGGAGAATTGATACAAGAATTGGGGACCTTAATGCGCCGATCAATTCAAAGCATCTACATCCCACCAGGACTTTGAGCTTTTGCCCCAGGGGGCGGAAAGATAAAAAACCAATTAGCGATTTCAAGTTTTTTTTTCCCTTGGCTTAAAAAGATACAAAGTTTTAAAACACACGTGCTTAACTATTGTTCTATCCATTAGACCTTTTTTTTTTCCACGCCTCGTTGCAGTCTCTGTCGTGGTTTACTTAAGTTTCTTACCAATAACCCAACACGAGATCGCGTAAATAAGCAGTCAAAACAAGTCCGGACTACGACGCAAGTAAGTGAAAGGCTGGGAAAACTCGATCTCTCGCTGGGTCAAAAGTAAAAAAAACTAACAAGCAAACAAACAAAAACAGTGAAAACCTGAATTTTTCAGTGAAAAAACAAGGATTTCTTGTAGAGTTGTCCTTTTCAGGAGGTAACCGGTAAAATAGTGAGCCTGCAGTTCCTCTTATCATCACCTAAAATTGTTTGGCATTCTTGAAAAATTCAACAGGTGAAAGGACTATCGTATCGGTTTGAAAATTTCGAATCACTGTCAGTATCTTGAGTATTTGTGTGCCAACAGTAACCCTAACTTGTTATCAGTTAGCTTTTGTCAAGATAGGGGAGGGGAGGTAGGTGCGAAGTTGCTAAGAAACGGACATCGATCCAAAATATCTTTTTCAGCTATCGTGCTTAAGGGAGAATACTGTACTTGCAAACCTACTTGTGCGTAGAGGCGACTTAATAGAACAAAGGAAAAGCACATAAAAAATGTTTGCTTTTGACACGGCCATTTTCTTACCCTCCTTGTATGGTGACAATTCCTCCAAGGAACATCTTACGATCGATATCAAGTTGTCTGAGGCCTAGAGGCGAGGCACCGCTGACACGCACTCCATTCAGCTCCAGGTACCCGTTGATACCTTTCCTGTACACACGCAGCTGGTTCCAGTCATTTAACCTCACAAATTGGTTGCTTATGATTTCGACTGGTCCTTCGCCCAGGTCATAACTGGAAGGATATAAGCAAATTTTAAGAACTGCGTGCCAACTACACGTGCATGACAGAAAGTCATTGATTCATGTGAAATTTAAATGAAACCGAGGGTTAAACATCAGCTATATAAGTGGGGGAGAGTGGGGGGGATGGGGGAAGGATTTAATTGACTTTCGACAGAAGTTGTTTTTAATTGTCTACCTGAGAGTCAAATCTTTACCGCAGAAAAATGAAGCGTTTTGTGAATGATACTTTTTTTTTACTATCAAATCAAATTGCACAAAATGGTTGTTTTCAAAGTGCGTAACTGCGCTCTGACAAAACAATTCCCATTATAGCTGTTTCCTTCTTCTATTAAGGAATCGCTGGGCTTTTATCTACCCCAAAACACAATTCCAGGTCTCTCTGCTCTTATAAATGTTTACAACCAATAAAACCTGGGCGCATGGGAAGCGTAAAACTAAATAACATACCTGAATATCACCTGTCCGCGTTTCAAGAGAATGAAGATAAAATCTCTACCGGTGTCTTGGTTACTCAGTATGACACCCGTGCGACTGATTGGTCGGAATTTCATCGTAATATTTGTTTCTTTCTGCACACCTGACAAAATTTTGTACTCCAAGTAACCGTTACCTCTGAAGCCAACCAATTGACCTAACGAAAAGGGACAGCATTCGTCAACCCTTACGCTCACATTTGTGATTAAAAGGAAAATTCTCGCAATTATAATATAAATCATTATCTGGCAAACAAATGATGAGAATTAACAATTTTATCAGCTGAGTTCACCAAGTTCTCTGAACTAACCCACAAGGAAGTGCATAGCACACGGAGGAGATAATTAAGTTTTTCATGTTTTTGGCCACCGCGTCTCCAAGTACAATTCATAATTAATTCGCCACGACCATCATACGGAAGCAAATGGCCAATTACGACCACGATTGGTCACACCTCGGGACTGCCTGGCTGCCTTGGAATGCGTGATTGTTCTCCACCATAACTATGCGTTCATCCCAGCTTGAAATGAAGTTAAATTTCCCGCCGCTTTGATTGGCTCAACGTTCACACATATTGTGCAAACAACATTATTTTATCCTGTCCTATAGTCTCATAGTGGATTCATAAAAACATTTAAACTTCTCGGGTAACTTTTTCCCCAAGTTTTCTATTCTGGTAAGATAACAGAGTTCAGTGTTCTTCGTGMTYMMYTRRTTCTCAGACGCTGAAACCTGAGTTACATCTGATAGGGTTTCTTGGTCAGTCGATGGAGCGTAGGAAGTATTACTGAAGGAAATAAGCAAGGTTACCTTGGAAGTTCTATCATACTTTCACCCTTGCGAAACGTCACATCTCCAAACACAATGCCGAAGGAAAACATGATAATAGAACTTTAAGAAGGGGTAAGATAGGTTTGCAATGTAATCAAGCAAAAAAGGCAACTTTAGAAGATTAGGAAAGATATAGAGAACTTACGGAGTGTTAGTGACCTGGAAACCAATTGTTTGAAAACTGCGCGTTTGGTTCGCGATCGTCTAGACCTCCTTGCAGGACGCGGACAGTTTACACCGACGCAGACTAAGTACAACGTCCCAGATAAAACACAGACAAAAGCAGAGTGAGAATAAAGTGAGGAAAATCACTTTCAAGACAAAGCAAGAGAAAAGATTTTCTTTAGAGTAAACCACTAGCTATCTGTCATGTATCTAGAGAGAAGAATGGAAAGGGGCGATTAATAAGGCTAAGTAGAAAAAGAAAACTAGTATTGAAAGAAAAAAAAGAAAAAAATCTTATGTTGTTTGTTAGACCCGGTACAAATGATACTTTGGCAATGGAGTTTCGAGCATTAGCTATTCTATTCGTCAGAGCAGACTTCAGTGATCCCTCCTAAGAAAAATCGTGGATCCGCAAACTTTTTCTCGGATGGGCAAACAAAATCTCCAGATGCTAGTGAATACGTACCACACTGTCCCCGTCTGGCCACAGTAATACGGGTCTGAGTTCTACAAGATTCCACTTGAAGTGTACACTCATTGAGATAAGTCTGTCCGTCGGTACCACACACAGGGTCGAAGGACAGCGGGCACTGCTGGGGACAGACACACTCCAAGGAGCCGTCGAGCTGCGCTTTGCATTCAGCGTAGAAGTCACATTTGAGAAGAGCACAGGGAGCTGAATAGGAAGAAGTAAGATTGGAAAATAGGGTCTCTCATTTATTGTACAAGTTATGAAGAAGTACCCTGTCCATCAACTAGCAACGAGTAAAGGAGAAGAAAGAAATACCACTTGAAAGAAATTGTGCAAACTCAAGAAAGTAATCAAAGTAGTTCTGTAAAACCAAGTTGTTTAAAGGTGTTAAGACAAAAGATGGTAAAAGAGCATGAAAGCCTTGAAGATTGATACTGAGTATACTTAAGATCTTTGACATTTCGTAATTTATATAGCTGCCAGATTAAAAGAACTAAGAGAAAAGGAAAATAGGTGCTCTTCTACAGAGCGTCGAAAGGTCAAGAGTTCACACCGTTCTCAGGGTGCTAGGGAAGTGGGAAGAATTCTGCTTTACATGCACGCCTCACTTAACTTACTACATGCTCCTTTCTGCAACACAACAAAGCTCTTTCGCTGTTTGCAGGCGTCCACTCGGAGAAGACATTCGTTGATGTACGTTTTGCCGTTACTGCCACAGACAGGGTCTAATTTCATATCGCATCGTTCACTGCACACACAAGCTGCCTGTCCGTCAGGTCTCTCCACACACGTGGAATAGAAGTTGCACCTGATATCAGCGCAACCCACGACTAGGTGAATACAAGGTAACAAGGCAAGAAAATGAGAGCAAGAAAGATTAAGATAGCAAGAGAATATATTGGTTTAATTTTGAAGAATAGTTGGAGGAATGAAGGAAGAGGTTTACTGGGTGAATGCGAATTGACGATGTCTTGTCAGAAATTTTTTACAAGCTACCCGAAGATACTTTCAGCCATGCTCAAGAAATCTCATCGATTCACCCTTTGACAGATAAGAGTGATAATCATCTAATTTCTCCTACTCATATCACCCCTGAATCACACATCAAGGTCAGGAGAATAAGGGAAATGATCACCGTCAAAAAATCCTCTCCTTGCCAGCACCTCGTGAAATGTATAGAAAACAGTGTATGAAGAATATGCATACTAATGTTCGGGCGTAACGGTTAAGATAACCGGAAGATAAATGGAAGAGAAAGTGGCACAAGCCAATAAATTAATTTCTGTCAGTAGAGATTTTGCACTAAGAAACCATTTTTGACAATCAGTTCCACATAGAACTTGGAAAACAGATTTAAAAAGACAGATTTTCGAAAACGGGATTCCACAGCTCTTGAGCTAAAAGTTTGAAAAGGTTCAGCGATAAAAAACAAGCATAAAAAGAGTTGAGAAAATACGAGGACTTCAATAAAAGACAGATTTTCGAAAAGGGGATTCCACAGCTCTTGAGCTAAAAGTTTGAAAAGGTTCAGCGATAAAAAACAAGCATAAAAAGAGTTGAGAAAATACGAGGACTTCAATATCTCTTACAACATTTTCCTTCACGTGCGAGCATCACAGATCCATTTGTTAGGCACGTGTCTAGATCCAGTGCACATCGGTTAACATAAGTCTTCTTATTGGTACCACATACTGGTTTGTAAGATAACGAGCAGCCGAGAGGGCACTGGCACGATTCTGACCCATCCTCCTGGAGCACACATTTGGCGCCGTGTTGACAGCGGGAGCTATTGCATGCTGGGAAGAGGTGGTGATGATGGGAACATTATAGCAAAAGATTAAAGGATGGTAAGACCCCTTAATGAAAGCGGAAAAACCTTTGGTTGCGTTTCATTTTATACTGGAATAGGTACATAAGAAAAGACTGGGAAAAGGGGAAGAGTTGTAACCAAACATCAAAATTACACATCATTGCAATATTTTCGTCAGAACAGGGTAGGAGAAAAGAGACAAAAAGTTTGTGAGAATATCTGATGAGCTACTAGTTTCTAATAATTTTCAACATAAGAAAATAGAGTCGTTTCTAAGGAGACTCAAACATGAAATATTGTCAAATTAGAGGTTACAAAAAAAAAAATAAATATAATAAATTTTTAAAAATAACCAAAACTATAGAATTAATTGGAAGTAAGGAAAATTACTGCACTTACAACAACGACCGTGCTGCGCAACGGAAATTGGACTCTGGGTAAGACAGGCGTGCTGCTTAAGAAGGCAGTGGTTTAGGTAAGATCTTTTGTCAGTGCCACAGACAGGCTTGTATCTAAAGTGACACCTAGGGCATCGACAGCGGGGTGTGGTGTTGTTAACAAGCTCACAATATCCACCGTGTTTGCATTTGCGTTCATGGCAAGGCACTTCAAAGATTAGAACAGATTAAAGAGGTTATTAGATTAACATGATGTTAGTCAAGTTACTATGCTTAAATGGCATAAATTGTAAAGTCAATGTGTCGATGAAATGTTCCTTTGGTATCGATTAGTAATTTTCTTCGTATAAAAAAACTTGATAAGTAGTTAAATGAAAATAATATCTCTCTCTTATTGCTATTAGAAATCGTTAAGGAATTTTGAGCAGTCAAAAAAATCTGTAGAAAAGTGGAATAAATAGACCTCAATATGGACGTTTATAGTCAATTAGTAAGTCTGATGAGTTTGTGAGGAATTCGCCCAATTGCAAGTTCACCCCAACCATCTTTACGAATTCGCCCCCTCATTTACTAGTTAGGAAGCATTCGTTCTACGGGCGAACTTACAAAGGTCATTGAGGGAGAACTTGCAACTATTGGTTGGTGCATTGATTAGTTGGTTAAACGATTTATTAGACACAGTTTTTGGTGGAGCTATCTGCAAATCAGATTGAAACAGTCCCACCACAACTGTGAGACATATCAAAAGAAAAACGAAGCACCGAAGACATCTTCACTTACGTTCGCAATAGCCCTTGTGGGTAACTCTAATAACTTTGTTTCTTCTGCAAGAGTCTCTCTTCAATTCACAAGTGTTACTGTAGGTTTTTCCATTACTCCCACACACAAAATTTAAAGACGTAGGACAAGACCTGGGGCATGCGCAGTCCGCTGTACCATTAGCCGCGACAACGCACTTGGCGTGTGGTGGACAGCTCGTGAGAGCGCAAGGATTCTCGGGACTGTCTACAACACCAAAGGAGAAAGAGCGATGTTGGGGAAAAAGAAAAGAAGGAAAAGTGAGCCAAAGGAAGAAAAACCCAAGAGTAGAGAGGAAAAGTTAGAAGAAGAACGAGATCATCAAATACTCGTTTTGAATTCAGAAAAGCAGAGGCGCTGGTCTCACAGTCAATGCTTAATGGGTCAATGTGTTGTGTTTTCAGGAAAAACATTGTACCCTCATAGCACCCCTCCCCACCCAGGAGTGTATATGGGTACCGGCGACCTGCTAGGGAAGTCTGATGATGTGCGAGAAGGGGGAGGGGGGAAGGAACTTTGCGATAGCCTGGCATTCCATTCAGGGGGGAGAAGTAATACTCCTCGAAACCGGGATAAGGTGGGTAGCTGGGCGGACCATTGGCTCGAGAACAAACTTCAACTATTTTTACTACATGATAGAAAGGAGATTATATTTTACAAGCTTCGCGGCTTATGACTACCCGTACTTATCACCAGTTTCCAGGACATGAAATGACGACTTTAAATGTTCCTCCCCCTGGATTGGATGCATCGAGATTCCCCAACAGTTTACCAGGACTCATTTACTCTCCTGGGTGGAGAAAGGTACTGTAAGAGAACAGTCTTCCCAGAGAACACAGCACAATGAAGCAATCGAGGATCAAACCAGAATCTTTCGATCAAGACTCCAACGTTCTGACCGCTGAAGCCTCAGTGTTGCGTCGAAAAGAGGCTATCCATAACCGAAATGAAATGTTTTGAAAAGGCACAAGAAGAAAGTGAAATCCCTTATGAATTACACGTTGAAGTGAAGATGAAAATGACAGGTGATGGTCGCATACCACACGTTCCCTTGTAAGCTGCTGTGATGTTTATATTTGATTGACAAGCTTCCAGATGGAGAGCGCACAGGTTGAAATAACTCTTGCGATCCGTGCCACAAGTTGGGTTATAAACCAGTGGGCATTTGCCGGGACATACGCAGACGGCGGAGGTCTGGGACTGAGAAACACACTTAGCATATGGCGGACAGGTCTTGGAGTAACAAGGATCTGAGAGGTAACAATGGAATTAAGAAGGTAAAGAGAGAGATGGACAGAAAAAAAGTTAAGCAAAGCGGAATTAGAATTGATTGAGGCTATGACAACTACACCCTGACTAAATGGGTGAAAATGAATAGAAGGTCATGTATTTTTGAGCAAGGCTGTTTGAGGATAACGTGACTTGGATCAAGAGTAGACTTCTACGAAAATAGATAATATAGATATTTCTTTTAGTGCTGGACAAGCTAAAAGAATTGAGATCCAAAGGATAGAAAAAAGGTAAATGAGAACTTACTGCAATCCCCCGCACGAATAACGGACACGTTCGCTTTCCGATTACATGAGGTAACTTTCAATTGACACTCGTTGATGTAAGTTTCTCCATCACTGCCACATACAGGGCGTGGTTCATAGGAACAGTCACGAGGACAGACACACACGCCAAGGGTGGTATCATTATTGGACACACACTTTGCATAGCGCTGACACGTGACAGTAGAACATGGCGCTGAGAAAGTGTAAAGAAAAAGCAGAGGAAAATAAAGAGAAAATGACTGAATATACGCAGCAGAGAAAACAGTCGAATTATTAAAAAGATACGAAGAACAATTAAAAGTACAAGGTGAAATCATGAGGATCTCGTTGGAGATATCGAAAGATCATTTGCTGATAGACATCGTTCAGTTGATGTCTTAGAGACAACTGCATAAAAGAAAAGACATGATCATATAAATAAACGCTTATTATGGCAAGAGGCACGCCAGAGCAATTGCAAAAAGACGTTCACAAGAACAATTTCAAGATTGCTCCAAGATAGCTCAAGAGCAATATCAGTGACATGAAAATATCATTACCTTGACTCACAAAGAAGGAAATTAAGAAGACATTAAAACTCACTACATTGGCCTTCGTGTAACATGGTTAGGTTCCCATTCAGTACACAGGCTGTGATTTTAAACAAGCATTCATTCACATATGTTTTGCCATCGCTGGCACATATGGGATCATATTTGAAAGAGCACCGCTTCACGCATGAGCACCGCGGCTCTCTGTTACTGTCGAGCGTACACTCAGCGTATGATGGACACAGTTTTGTAGAACATGGATTTTCTGTGTGGGAAGGATGGAAAATCGATGACACAAAGTAACATTTTTAAGTTAGGAGAGAACAAGATATATTAAAAGAGTGTTGAAAGCAAACTGCAGAAAAAGATTCCAACAGAATACATCGAAACGCAATGAGTTGAAGTTTGAACTTCCGATAGTAATTCAAAACATAGGCACGCAAGGCGTAGATCAAGTTGTCAGGATGTGTGTTACCACAGGACCTTCTTTTGTCGAAAACTAGTTTTAGACCTTTGAAAATCATACCATCCTTTAGATAAATTTGCGAAGAATACAACTACACGTTGATTGCGTTTTTGACAAATTGAGTAATATTCCTATAGCTTTTTTCTATCTATTCATTTCCTGTGGAGAAAATAGTTTCTAAAGAACAACAGTTGCTAAGTTAATGAGCAGAGATGATTACATGTACATCAATTACATAAAAGACATAATTGACAACGCACAGGAATGAAGACACGGTTTGTGAATAGAAAAAAGAAGCAATCTTTGCTCTTGTCGCTGTAAAGTGAGTCCTTTTATGTTCAGAAGAAACCGTTATAGACGGACGGACGAACTGAACGAACTAATTTTGTCGGACGGTCGAAACTGACCAATCACAGCTCACCAAGGTTACTTGAGCCGATAAAATCAGCTTTACTGACCAAACAGACCTAAAAGCATTCCGCTGACGCGGTCGTCCTTACTTAACTTTCACAACGTCTTCTGCTCATGTTCTTTGTCAAAAACTCCTCAGGACGTACCTCAGTCAGACGATCATGCCAAGATGTATTGCTTAGAAGCCCTAATTGCGCTTCAGACTAACGCGTACAACGCATAATTCCTTTCTTTTGTTGTAGTTGCTTCAATAGTGCTGGAAACATGAATAGATGTTGAGTTTTCTACCTGTTTAACTTACCTCGTTCTGAATCGTGTCGGAAAGAAATCCGTGAAAGTCATGAAAAAAAGAATAGGAAAGAAACATTGTTTAGAGTAAAAATAATCGAGGAATAAGACATGCGTACAAGATATGAAACTTATCAGCTGAAAAAAAAAAGGACCTTCATTCCCAACGGGATAGTTGAAATTCATCACCAATCCCGATAACTTGAACCATTGTTCGTTAATCTTTCTAGTTCGAGTTAGAGGGCTTCTGCTGCATCGACAGGTACACCACACCACATACCCTGGATATAAACCCAACATCAACATAATAAACAAACGTATGAACATTTGCACATACCACACACTCCTTTGTTCTTGACTGTGATGGACCTTTTGTTATTGCACGATTCCACCTCCATTTCACACGTACTGATGTATTGCTTGCCATCGGATCCACATACGGGATATTTTGAAGGAGGACAATCCTTTTTTTTAGAACACTGACACACGGGTTTTCTATCTTTCTTGACACATTTGCCGTAGAATTCACACTTGATCTCTTTACAAGTTACTGTTTTACATGGAAAAAAATTAAAATACGTTAAAAAGTTGGCTGGGCAAGAGCTGTGATTGGGTACACAAACAATTGATAAATTGCTGTTAAGGTTTGGTCGATTTTCCTTAGGTAATCAAACGATTTCGCAAGGGTGAGCTGCTCAGAGGTTTAAAAAATTAGAGTCGGAAAGCAGGCGAAGTTTGTAGTCTTTGAAAAACAGACGAGTGCTTATCTATTTCAAATTTTAACCAGAATCGGTGTTAACGTCATAATCTGATTGGCCAAATTGCCGTTGTCGATAAGAGCACAGACAACGTTGCTCGCGTCAACGTGTCACGCGCCGAAAAAATAATTTTCTCTGACGTCGATAGTAAGATGAAAAACAAATTGACATTTATTTAGCGTGGTACGTATTCATATCGATAACGATATATATCAGCTGCACCTCGTGACTCCAAAACATTTTGACCATAGTGATGACGATCAACAAACGAACAAACTTTATTAATGTTTTTATATTTAAAAGTAGAACATGTACAACTCGCATATAGCGTGCACTAGTCGAGGCGAGTTGCGCAGCGAGAAAAAAGAAAAAGAAGAGAATAACTCAATTGTCGATAAGAGTACAGACCACGCTACACCACTATCGACTTGTTATTTACACTCAAATTGACTTCATTAGTTGGTGATGAGCATCAGTATATACATTCTCCATCATGTTCTCTATACATTAGAAGCTTAGCACCACTAGAGGTGAAAAGGTTTATATCACCTTAAAGCATTCATTTTAAACTGTTTGCACTCAATTTCAACTTTCCGCACTGTCTTAGTTCACTTGGTTGTCAATAACATTTTTAATCACTTCTTGTCTTTAGTTTGACTATTAGTCGTTTCTTCGCGGGATTGTAACGTCTCGACTGCACTGTGTTGGTCTTCTTTATGTTATGCGACCTACAGCGCATGCATCACCTTATGAGCGATCATTCTCGCTGTAATTCAAGCCTGAAACTGAATACATTTTCTAATAACGTCCACAGCAGGTTTATTAACTTAAGTGTAACACGTACCACAGGGTCCTTTCTTGACAACTCTAAGAGGAACCTTATTCTTGCAGGAATTCGCCCTCATATGACACTCTGTGCGATACGTGATGGTATCATCAGCACACACTTCATCACTTTCCAAAGGACACTGATTCTCCTCAGGACAAACACAAGTTGCCAGACCTGTGTCCGTAAACCGACATTCGGCAAAGAACCTCTCACATTTTGCTTGTCGACATGCTCCTGGAGAATTAACGATAAAATGTCAACAAATGATGCAAGAATCGAAACTTACCTTGAAACTACTACAGGTAAAATTTATAAATGTAGTAAACAGTAAAGATGATTCTTGTCTTAAAAAAAAAAAAAAAGCAAAACAAAAACATTCAGATCATCAAGCTTGATGGTAAATGTCTATAAAGAAAAATGTCTAAAAGTATTTTTTAAAAAAGCTTCCCTAAAAAGATGAGTCTAAACTATTTACTCAAAAATATTCAGATCGTCACAGTCTAACTAAAAACTCTCTTGGATGAGACGCTGATCCATCGTGGGTTAAAAACCTCAGCCCGAAGTAATGTACGGGCACTTGTTTAACTCTCAGGTAGAAGACGGCTTGGCAAGAGCTCACTGTTTGCGCAAAAGCACAAGATACTGATCGGAGCAAAAGATGCGTGCTTTCAGAACACGAAATCCAAAGCTACACATAACACTATTACTAACGTCATACAGTTTGGTAAAATTTTCATCGTACCGCATTTTTCACCGAATTCTACGATTGTAACTTCCTTTCTCATCTGACAAGCTCTGGCCGCCATCACACATGGGTTGTCATATCTTCTTCCGTCACTACCACACACATAGTTTTTTTCTGACGCACAATCAATTTCCATGGGACATACACACTCTGGGTAACCTTTTGTGAAGCCGCACCTGGCGCCATACCTACAAAAGGTACTTGAGCATGGTAGCACGACCAAACCTGTAGAATAAGTAAATTGAAATAATTCTCATTTATTTGAAAAAAGACGAGAATTAAGTTTTCCTGGAAATTTTAATACGAGAGGAAAAAAAGATAACAACGACAATGCTTGTTTAAAGGAATACTTAGTAGCTTTTTTTTTTTCTAATTAGAAGAACACTATTCCAAAAAATAACGTCCAAGCACAGTTGGAGAGAACTTCCCAGAATTTTTTCTCATCATAAACAAAAATATATTATTTCCAATCGGTGCAAATGTTAAACAATGAGTCAAAAAACCGACAAAAGTGCAAGTAACTTTCATTAACGCGACGGCTTGAAGCAAGCGAAGAATCTAATAAGGTTTTTTTTTTAAATGGTTCTCCCATTACTGGAAGTAAAATAATCCAAAATACTTCACGTGATCTGCAAGTCTTCGGAATTATAGAGCCACATTGCCTTTGATTAACTTACCACACTCTCCCCTAAACAGCAAGCGAGCCTTCAATCGTTTTGGGCAGTTTGCTGCCCTCAGCGCACACTCACTAGCGTAGGTTATACCGTCACTACCACAAACAGGCGAGGCTACTTGGCTGCGCAGGCACTGGAGAGGAGAAGGGCAAACACATCTTGCTTGGTTGTTACTATCAAGGACACATCTTTGATATAAATCACATCTTTTCAGGGCGCACGCATCTGTTAAAAACAAAACAAACACATTTTATACTCTTTAAAAGGAACACTGTCTCGTGCAAAATTTGAAAGCTAGTATTCCTTTAAAGCACCCTTTTGTTTTAAAGGTTGAAGGAGGAAAAGATTCCAATAATTAAAAATAAAACGTCTTACAGACTAAGCGTGAGGACCGCACTAAAGGTCGTGGCAGCTTTACACAGTATGGCTTATGCAACTGAGGTTACTAAGCAGTTTATCATATGTCACTCGAACCAAACCTGTTTATTTCGTATTTGCCAGCTTTAGCGAACAATAAGATACACGGCTTATGACCGTTTCCTTGAAAAAAGTCCGTGTGGCTAAATCTCGACCAGGTAAGAACCAATCAAATCGCTCGGATTTACCTCAGGATTACCAGGTTTATTATAGATCTCACTTATTGCGTGTTATGATTGGTCAATTAGCGGGCCTTACTTCACTGTGCAGCCCGCTAAGTTTTGAAGTCTGTTTGAGTTGAAATTCTCCTCCCCACCTGAACCCACAGATATCATATATATTTTACTGATCGCTGTTTCTTGCTCCGTGCCTCGTTTTTTTTTTTCGTTCAGATATATGACGCGCGGTTAGCGGTTAGGCCATAAAATCGTACGGACCTCGAACTCAGTTAGTATGTATTTCAGAGAAAAGAATAGATTTAGAATAAGATAGTCTCTTACCGCATTCCCCTTTCTTCACCACAGTGAGCTGTCTTCTAGCCTTACACGCCTTTGCCCTCATCAGACACTCGTTTGTGTAAGATTTCCCATTGCTGGCACACACTCGATCTTCATCGGACGAACATCTTCTGGGACACTGGCACTTCGCTTTGTTGTCAACTACAACACAGTCTTGATACGGCTTACACTGATGGAAGGAGCATGCATCTGGATAACATAAAAGCGACAAGATTAGCGTTTTCAAACATTTTCCCCACGACCCCAAATCGCCTAAGCTTTCTGGATTATGTGTAACGTCGGTCATCACTATCACCCATATCGACTGATATTCCATGGGTAAATAGGCGTATCAATAATCGGTCGATACTCGGCCGATAGCCGGTTGATACTCGGTAGATGGCCGACCACGTGCACGTACGATAAATATGCCAGTTAACGCAACACGAAGTGACTACTACAATTACTTCCCAACCTCAGCCCCCTCTGGTCTGCCGCAGGTAATTCTAATCACTTCGTCGAGTTCTGGTAATAGATTTAGCGATTTCATTCACAGTGAAACGGTGTATTGAGGTTTAAGAGTTGCTCCTGTCTTAATTTTGATATTGAAGCTATATCTCTAACCACTCAAAACAGTATAGCTTTATTTGAATCCATAACTTACATGCCACTGTTACGTCAGATAAATGTTTTCCAGAATTAAATAAAAATAATGGCTGACAATAAACAACTATCAACATTTTCGCCTGAAAAAAATAGTTGTAATAAAAAACTTCACGGTTTCTCATTAGACTTTGGTGAATCAGGAATTTTTCGCTGGAGATACCCTAAATCAAAGATCAAGGGTTGGAGACTTCCTCTCCAAAGCAATCACTACGTAACTGAGATATTGTTTCAATTCCTCACATGAACGAAAGGCAAAAGAATATTTCCTTCTTACCGCATCTTCCTTTCTTCATCTTCAAGTCACTTCCGCAGGCATCGGCCTTGAAGTGACATTCGTTATCATACGTGTTACCGTTACTTCCACATACGGGATCTCCTCCAACTGGGCATTCAGCACGTACCTGGCACACGCACTGAGTGGAGCCGTCCGCTACCACCTCACATTTTCTGTGCTTCTGGCAGGCTACAAACTTACATGCATCTGCAAAACACGCGAGCAGTGGCCAACGGTTGTAAAACGTTTGAAATTAAAATAAATTAAACTATTCCATTCAATAATATGTAGTGATCATGCGTGAATAAAACACAGCATAATTCATTTCAAATATAGCAGATAAAAAAAAAAAGATGAAAAAAGCGGGCTTGATAGAGAGAATCGTACTTATTCGACGAAGTTCGGATCTATACACAGTTACTTTTCATTGGATCGTCAATTTTACTGATAGCACACTCCTGGTATTTTGGACATAGGGCCTTGCCCCCATAAGGACTTGATTCGATCCAGTACCCCTAAAATCGCGACTTTCCTCCGCATTCTGTAACGTTTTCAATGGTTTGCGGGTGTGAGCTGTTCTGAGTATGCAATTAAGTTTTCGTACCACACAGTCCATCTTTCCTCTTCTCAGTCTTCTGTTTCCTCTCACAGGCGATGGCTTTCATAAGACACTCGTTGATGTACGTTTTACCGTCTGTGCCACACACTGTCTTCATTACTGGCAGACAGTCCTGTTTCTTCGGACACACACAAGTGTGAGACCCATCGGGAGCGTTGTGACAAACTGCGTAAATTGGACACCTCACGAGGCGACAGCCACCCACTGGTGAAACAGAAGAAAAAAGATATATAAAAGGATTACGTTTCAAGTTCAATTGACCCGAAACGTCCAACAGGTTCATTTACATCTTGTGAACAGTCTTTGAGGCTTTTTCAAAACAATCAATTTCACTCTCCCGACTTTAATCCGTGAGTGAGATATCAAAGGCTTGCGTTAAAACTGTGAATTCCCCGATTGCAGTGATACACAATTTTGGCAAACCAAATTAAATAATGTGAATCTTAAATTATGTAAATCCAGCTCTTTTTGCATCTCGGCTTAAGCTGCAGGTTTATTTCATTTCTTAATTAGTTAATTTTTCCTTTCCATACACAGTCTAGATCTTGAAAATTAAACCGTAAATGTAAAGCCTTTTTTCAAAAATTAAATTAAAGTAAGTCTGAGAACACCGGAAATTCACGCGCCTGACAAATGAAAAAGTAGAATCTGTCCCTAGACATGACGCACGTGTCATAAAACATGAGACACGGGCAAGTGCCGGTCGCCAGACTTACCGCACGGGCCTTTGTTAACTACGACCAATCCACCGCCAGTGGAACAAGACTTGACCTTAAGATGACATTCGTTAGGATACTCAATACCGTCTGAACCGCAGACCGGCGCTGGAATATAGCTGCAGTCGCGTATATCGGGGCACTGGCACTTGGCCACGCTTTGAATCACTTTACAGACTTGGCTCGGTGGGCATTTCATTTCCGAGCAATCATCTGAAAAAATGCAAAGACAGCAACATTAGACGTTTCTGAGGCTACTCTACAATCTACAGCGATGGACCAGCAGTCAAACGTTGTCTCAGGATGTCAGAACCAAGTTGTTTTAATGTGGTTAAATGCAATTTAAACAAAGTTAAAATCAGGCACAGGCTGCTGCTCTCTTTCCACCAACATCAGGCCTCGCGCAGGCATTGATGTGGCCAGCCAGGCTTGGGCTGTTTGCTGCCCCTCGCCTCTCAATGACGCTGGAGCTGTTGGTGGCGCCAAATGTTACAAGTCTCGATGTTCTATCTCGTTTCTTTGATATTACCGGCTCATTCTGGTCAGCAGTTTTGAGATAGAATGTGGGGGGTGGGGGTCCTGAATTGATGGCAGGGCCACGTAGCCTCTTAACGTTGGCATAGCGCGCTCCAACGTCGTGCCTTTGGTTCGTTCTTGTGTCTTCCCTCCCACCCTCACCTCGGATAGTTCAAGTTCGGTAAGTATAAACAATTCCACTGACAGGGTCAGTGTGACGGGTGCCTGAGGTGGACCGGAGTTTCGTTCCCATGGTTACTTCAGCTGTGGCCAGTGCGCGACCTGACACAGCTTCTAGGCACCTACCTCCAATTCATCTGTGCTGATCATTTTTAACAAGAATTATACATAAGCACACAAGCCAGTATGTCCCATTATTTCAAAACCATGTAACTTTTTTGACAAAGCTCAAAACAAATTGGTAAATGAACCGCAAACCCCTTATGCATGCTTTCTCAAATTCTCTAGTCTACCATTTCTCTTCTTTTCCTTTCACATATTTGTGTGAACGTACGTTCAATCATTTTTCCCATATTTTTCGTGACAACAGTTTTTCTTGTGTTTTCCTTCAACGTTTTTATTGGCGCGCAACCGGCCAAAATTGAACCCCTTGGCGACTGCAGAGTCTTGACTGTTTTAACTGAAAAGCAAAACTACGTCCTTACCGCAGCGTCCTTGTTTCATGACCACAAGACTGCCGTCCACCTTACACGATTGTAATTTCAGTTTGCATTCATTGTCATAGGTTTTGCCATCACTTCCGCAAACTTCAGCAAGTGTCGACGGACATTCATTGTCTTTTGGGCAGCGACACTCGTGGAGGCCGTTTCATTTTATGAAACATACGGCGTTTTTAGCACATGTTACCAAATCACAAATACCTATCGAACATAAAGAAACGGTGAATAAACTTGGATATTCATGAAACTGAAAAAAGGAAAGTGAGAAGTTGATTCATTAAAGAATGAATTTAAGAGGGAAAGTTTTTTTACTTAAAGCTTTAATTCATTTGGCAAGAGTTCGTGATCTATAGCTTTTATTGTTTCGTCCACCAGTTGATATGCTAATTAGTCAATAGCTAGGAAGTCAGATATGATGAATATATGAAGTTAATATAGTTTGAACTGCGGTTATAGATACGTATGATGCACGATCCTCGCAATAGCGAGCGCTATTTATGCAATAGCGAAAATCAGACCTGAAAAAGATCAGGCCTGTACGGGATTTGAACCACTGACCTCTACGATACTAGTGCAGCGCACTACCAATTGAAATAACAAGTCAACTGGGATCAGGCCGTTACGTTGATTCGCAATAAACCCGTGATAATAAATCAGATATGATGAATATATGAAGTTCCTATATTTTTTTGAACTGCGGTTATAGATACGTATGATGCACGATCCTCGCAGTAGAGAGCGCTAATTTATGCAATAGCGAAAATCAGACCTGAAAAAAAAAAGAAATCAGGCCTGTACGGGATTCGAAGTAAGTCAGTCAAACATTAAGTCTGTCAGTTAGTCATTGAGTCAACACAGTTGGTCAGTCAACTGGCCACTAAACCAGTTACTCAACCGGCCACCACTCCGGTCAATCAGTCAGCCAGTAAGTCACTTAGTGAGTCAGTCCTTCCGTTCGTCCGTCTATCAGTCAGTTTACCAGTCAACCAGCAAGTCAGCCTGTCAGTCATCTTGTCAGACGGTCAATCTTTAAAAATAAGAAGCAAGTCATTGAAGCATAGTGTTTTTGGTAACTACTCACCACAATACCCCTTCCTTCTGACAGTGACCTCCTTTCCGGCCTTGCAAGCCTTTGCTTTCATGACGCACTCCTTAAGGTAACTCTGGCCATCAGAACCACAGATCAAGTCAACTTTCCATGGTCAGTCACGATGCGATGGACAGACACACACTGCTTTGTTGTTCCTCGCTTTACAAGTAGCAAAGCTGTGACAGCTGGCCGAATCACAAGGATCTGTGGAAGCCATTGAAAATTGTCATCAACAGTTATAGATCATAAATAAGTAAAAAGATAAAGCAAATTAATCTGAGTCACGAAAGACACGGGGTGACTATCTCAGTAAATAACTCACCGCATTTGCTAGGAATAACTGGAGCTATTCTTTTGCCTTTTTTACAGGAATCGACTCTCATAAAGCACTCGTTTGTGTAAACCGTATGAGTTTCTCCATCACTGCCACATACCACGCTCGTAACATTGGAGCACTCGCTCACATCTGGACAGCGGCATTCCACTGTACCAGACGAGAACACGCATTGGGCGTGATTTATACAACTCTTCAGTGAGCAAGGAACGACCACCAATCCTGAAAGCAGAGACAAGCAATGACTACAAAAAGCACGAAGTGGAAATCTGGCGCTTTACAGTTACATTTGTGAGCGAAACGAAAACATGATGTAATTGCTAGAATTCTTCTCAGTCTGGTCTAAAACGTTAAAAATCTTGCGTGACAAGTCCTCTGAGACAAATACATTTGTTCGCATAGAAGCCTCGTCTTATGTTAAGCTAAAACTTTATTCTACACCCTAAATAACACCCAGAAGTGATAAACCTGCAATTTCTCCTCACGATATTGATACAAAATCCAGAAAACACATGATGAGAATTGAGAATGTCAACAGCAAGTGGTTCTTACCTTCATATCAAAACAAATTCTCTGACGATTTTTATTAGAAAATGTGTTGCAAGTAGTAGGGAGATGACACATCAGATCTGGGTTTGTTTCCATTTATTAGTTCAACTTACCGCAGGCCCCAGTTTTGAAGACGAGTCCTTTTTTCTTCTCGCATGACTCTCTTCTACCTTTGCACTCATTTTCGTACGTTCGGCCATCGCTTCCACAAACAGGCTCACCCAGGCTGGGGCAGAAATCAGGACATCTACACGAAGCTTTTCCTTGGGCATCCAAAACACAATTTTGGTCAGGGGCGCACACAGACTTTGAACATGGAGCTGACGGAAAGACAAAACAATATGAAATAAATCAAGCAAGTTTCATCGAGGTAATTCACCCGCGAAGGTTAGACCTCAATTATGAAAACCTTTAGTGCGGCAATTGAGTCCTCATTTCTTGAAAAGCTCCTCGTTGCTCAACGATTACAACTTTCGGGCGACGTCCGTTTGTGTTGATAAATTAAGGTGAGAAGGAAAACCACTCACAAATAGGCGTTGCATAACACGAGCAACCTGGCAATCAATTGGTCAGCAAATTGCTCTATACTTACTGCACCGTCTTTTTTGTTGGACTTCGATTCTTTGTCTGAGCCGACATGACTCCGCTTTCAAATGGCACACGCTTCGATACGTTTTACCATTGTCTCCACAAATCTCCCTGACAGTATCCGGACACTGGTCAGCGGTTTCACACTTGCACTGCGCAGTCTCAGATCCATCTTGTACCTTAGAACATTGGCCATAGTAGTCCACACAGTCCGACAATGAACAGGGGCCTGGAGAAAAATTCTATTTTAGACCCTCTTTCGTTTGTTCTTGTCAACGACCATTAAAAACTTCATCTTTTTTAAGTCAAGTAAAAACGTAATCAGTTGAAATATAAATGAAATATAAATAAATCCCTTATAAATAACGGTTTTTGCGACCTGAATTTTTTTACATCAAATTTCGGAAAGAATATCAAAAAGAAAATGAAAACTAAGGCTAACATATTAATGATATTAATAATGTAATAATATTAATACTAATGATAATAATGATAATAACAATCATAACAGCAACAAGCCATTCTTATCATAATAGTGCAACCGACAAGATGAAAGACTATACGCTGAAAATTTTGTATTATTGGAAAATGACGTCCAAGAGCCACAAAGAAATTTTATCTTTCATTCCCGATCAATTAGGAAACACAAAATATTCGCGCCCAACCATATTACAGAATTTTGAAAGAAAATTACTTATCAATATCCCACTGTGATTAAGATGGTTATCACAACACATCAGTTACTACACAGTTATCCAATTTGTCTTCGTACCACAGGGTCCTTTATGTTTCATCGTAACTTCGATTCCTGCGGCACAACTCTCAGCCTTCAGCTTGCATTCGCTCTCATACGTCCTGCCATTCGTTCCACATACTGGATCGTTTACATCCGGGCAGTCCTCCATGCGCGGACAGCGACAGACAGTAGATCCATCAGGTATAACTCCGCAAACAGAATGGAACATACAATGAGACGCTTTACACGGATCTACAAGAAATTTAATTAAAAAATCTAATCAGCAGGCTTTTCCATTAACATTTGAAATGTTTTATTCAATAAAATCTTAGCCTTACCACACACTCCCTTTTTAATCGTCCTGACTGGCTTTCCAGTTGTACAAGCTTCAACCTGCAGTCTGCACAGGTTGATGTAAGTCTTTTCATCACTTCCACAGACTAGATCATAATCTCTTGGGCAATCGTCTTCTGTCGGACACTTACAAGATGGTATCTGCTGCTCATTTGCCACACACCGCTTGTCTGAAGAGCATCGAGTGTCTCTACAAACCCCTGTATAGATTAATAAAAACAACCAACACAGGTTATCTTACTTTCCTAGATATGGGTCTCCCGCGTATAGCGCTCCGCTTTCATAACTTAATCATATTTGATTTTAAGGGTATGTAAACCTTTCTAGGGGAGGATTCTAGTCTCTTCAAATAGCGTCTCGTGATTTTCTGATAATTGTACTCATACGGATTAATTTAGTATACTAAGAGTATATGAAAGAGTATTCTGGAACGGATAAAATAATTTTTAGCCAAATAAAAAAAAAAAAAAAAATCACAGTACCGCAACGTCCTCGATGCCTCAATCCAACAGATGTGTTCTTCTCACATGACTCTGCTTTCATGAAGCATTCATTTCGATAGGTTTTCCCATCCGTGCCACAAACAGGGTCATTTTCATTGGCACAGTCTTTGATTTCAATGCACTTGCACAAAAACGTTCCATCTGTTTGACCGATGCAAACCTCGTTGGTACCACAACTACCGGGGTTACAAGAACCTGGGAACAAAAAAAAAAAAGTAGAAAATAAGAGAATTTGAAGAAATAACAAAACTTAATGTATAGTAGTGCAAGTGCTGTTAGTATAGGTAATCATATGATTTCGAGTGCAATTTGGAATAAATAAGCACGAGTAAATTTTTTCAAAGACTAACAAAATTGCACGAGCCCGCAGGGCGAGTGCAATTTGTGGTCTTTGAAAAAATTTACAAGTGCTTATATATTCCAAATTGCACGAGAAAATCATGTGATTATCTATTAATAATATACATGAAAAAATACGAGGTAGCTCCTCATAACTACGCAGAGGAAAAGCGCGCGCATCACGTGCAAAAATAATTTATTCAAACCCTGCAAGTGACCTTGACATTGACCTTGACATTGACCAATCACTTTGACCAATCAGAATGTCTGGTTTGTTTCTTTCTTTGCACTGAATTAACTCTCTTCTGCACTGAATTAACTGAAAACTGCATTCATCTTAACCAATCAGAACTGAGAAATTTTTTCATGTATATTATTAAGCTAGCAATAAAGCAGGCCAGCAATCTCCTCAGCAGCAGGGAGGTCAACGTGGTATCCGAGACAGATTACCTCTAGGAACCTGTCGACACAACATCGACAAATCTGTGTGTAGAATGAATACTTTGTCGTGAAAGGGGAGTGGCCTGGGCCATTGCTTTGTTTACATGCGACAGTCGTCCTTTATACTGGTAAGATCAGCGAAGGATGTACGAAAGGCTAAACTAAGAGTTTCTTCAAACATTCAACAACGTTCTCCTTCGGAGGCATTTTGCGGCTGATCCACCATTTTGCGTACTGTCATTTCGATGTCCAAAGTCAATATGGCCAAATACAACAAATAAAGAGGCAAGTAAAATAAATTTGATATATAATAAAACCGGCACCTCTTGATAATACTTTGTAAACAAGTGGAGGACATTTCTGTAATAAACTAGTGAGGGAAATTACTGTGAAAACCTCAGAGTCCCATATTGATGGCCTCCTTCAATGCAACCAATAACCATCTTACCACAAGGTCCATCATGCACAACTGTTACGGTCTTTTTATCTGCACAGGCAGTCACATCTAAAAGACACTTGTTTATGTAACTCTGTCCGTCTGAGCCACATACACCATCACCGTCCTTTGGACATTCGCCCTCCGTTCGACACCTACACGTGACCGAACCGTCCGCGTTTCCGATGCAAGCGGCGTTGTTCTTACAGTTCTTAGCGAGGTCACACGGGCCTAGCGACAGGAAAGACAAATCAGTACGTTGCATGGATATGGTGGTAGTGTATTGCTTTCCCTCTGACCTTTGTTTGAATCAACGTAAGATCCCCATACCCAACAGACTAGGAGACCAAAAAGGAATTTCTCCTTACAATATCAATACATTTTCTGGCAGAAAGGTAATGAGAAGAAGGAATAATATCAACCGAGGCATTTTGTTTCATTTGACACCAAGGTCTCAGAGCTGACACAATAAGAAACGCTCGACAAACAGAGAAAAGATTGGCTTTCGGGACAGTGCCCGGTCCAATACCTAGAGAATATTGACCGGCAATAGAGCATTTTGATTGGTTGATTTTAGCTATTGGCCCTCTGACTGCCCGAGTCGTGTAATAATGATTGATTATCCCAAGCTTAGTTTCAGATGAGAGGTTAACATTATTGGGGAGTTTTGGTGGGTGGGTGGGTTAGGGTGGAACGAATTCACTGTATGTAGAAAAAAAAACTAAACGAAAAAACGAAAAGCGTACACATCTCCATTCATAGCAGCACTTACCCAAAATTTACCAAAAGCAAACAAGGTCAAAAACCTGGAATGTCGTCAATATTTCAGGAGTCTGATGAAATAACTACTTGCTCTATGCTACATTGCTACTAATCAAGAAACTACTCACGGGATGGCGTTATTATTCACACGCTGAATTTCGGAAATTCAAAAGATTTTATTTGCCAAAAGTAGCCTAAAAATAACTCGTCTTCATCATCAAAACAAACACTCACCACAATACCCATCCATAACAACATAAACGGAGATTTCTCTGAGACAGGCCTTGGCCTTCATGACACACTCGTTGAGGTACGTTTTACCATCGCTGCCACACACAGCATGAACAGTCATTGAACAATGTCTCTCATCGGGGCATTCACATTTGGCGTTACCAAAGGAATCCGCTTTACACGACTTTGGTTCCTGACACTGCACTCCAGCACAAGGCTCTGAAATAACATTTGAAAAAAATTGACCGATATTAATTGAGACATGTCATCAAATGCTGGTAAAACGCCCATATAGGAGCCCCCCCTCCCCTCCCCCACGACTACTTACAGGGAAGGGGAGGGGAGGGCTCTCGTGGGTGCCAAAGCATGAGCTTTTTGTCAGCTTTTCTTTCTTAAGCTCTCCGTTGACTCAGGAGCGAGTGACCTCATTATCTTACCAAACACACGTATACGTATGAGGAAACTAATATTTAAAGAAAATTACTAAAATAATTTACTAATTCTTTAAACGGTATGAAGTTAACTTACACATGAGAGACAAAAAAAATCTTTCTTTTTCATTTCTTTACGTAAGACCAACTAATTAAATCCCAAGGACCATTCTATAATTTCAACAACATTATTGCAAATGCTCACTTAATATTGTTTGTAGGTAGAACCGGAAGACGAATGGATATTTGACCCATAGTATCATAGCGCCTTTGGTAGCCCATGGATTAAAGCTTCCCTGTGACTTAGTCGAGTTCGAGTCCATCCAGGATCTTTTTAAAATAAGAAAATGGTCTTTCAATACAAGCACCTACTTAAAGGTTCCGAAATGGAACACTTACCACATTTTCCAGGTCTCTGTTGATCAACGATTTCTTCAAGTCGACAATTCTCCACATCCAGATAGCATTTGTTGATGTAAGTCCTGTTGTTCACACCACACACGGGGGCGGGAATCTGGGGACACTCCCTGATGTCCTTACATACACACTGTGCATTGCCACCCTTCACCTCGCAGCGCGCATGCTCTTTACATTTAACGCCGGCACACAAACCTGAGAGAAAAATTACAATTAAGATCGATGGTTTAGAGCGAATTTGGATTTAGTCTCGTACTACTAAAGCCATAATTATTGCATGGACCAATTAGACCTAGGGAAAATAACACAGGAACCAATGAGAGTTCAGTAAAATCAAGTTAACTGACTAAGTGCGGGAAAAGATGAATTCCTTGCTTCAGTTCTGCTTTTGATTGGTTGACAGGGTGATACGATGGTTCTAAACCAATCACGGTATGATATAAAAGAAATTGACTGAGAATCGTGGATAAAATATCGCATTAAAATGAAAATTCTCTAGCAGCATACACAAAGATTTACCCTGTGCAGGAAAATATTTGTAGAGTTTCAAAAACATTCAAAACTTACCACATGGGCCCAAGTTATCAACAGTGACTTGTACTCCTCTGGTACAGGCTTGAACTCTTAAAACACAGTCATTGTCGTAAGTGACCCTATCACTGCCGCATACTTCATCTTTGGTGGTTGGACAATCACTGATCTTTGGACACACGCACTCTGTACGGGTAAAATCAATCGCCTTGCAGCGGGCATAGGTCTGACAAACCTTCTTTGCGCAAGGGTCTGTAATTAATAATTTTAAAATCATATATAGCTGAAAGACGAATAGAAGCTAGAAGGCAGGTACGATTAAATGTGAGGGTAGAGGGGAAAGCAGGAAGTCAGCTGACGGCCAGACAACAGCTAGAAGGACAGACGGCCATCCACACAGACAGAAAGACAAACAGACTCACCAACTAACAAAAACAAAAACTTGGTGGCCAGCAAGCTTGCAGTTAAAGTGAGAGGCAAGCAGTGTGGCGGACCGACAGAGATAAGATAACCTTTGTCTGAGTGTAGAGTCATGGTAGCACGTAACAATCTTAGGAGAACTCACCAGTAAGTCAAGATAAGCTCACCTTCACACGTGTCCTTAGCCAACTTGGCAGCCACAGAACCAAGCTCGTCGAAACTGTCAACAGTGCGAACAAACCTCCTTCCACTAGCGAGACCAACATGCCGAGATGAAGGTGTACTCACACCAACGGCAACGACAAATATCTGAATGCCTGTGTTCTTCAGTCTGGTGGCAGCAGATTTAACGTCCTCGGTGATCTCACCCGCAACTAACACAACTAGAGACCTGGGGACCTGTCATAGAAAGAGGGCAAAGGTTTTAAAGGACAACATGAAGACATATACATGGGAAAATGAAGAGGGGGGTTGAAGAATTTGGTTGTGTCTCTTGAAAATTAACCTGATCCCCCCATGAGCCTCTGTAGTATTCTAACGACACATCCCCCGCCCCATTGGCAGTCAATTCTCTTTCGTCCCCCTTTTCGAGGAAAACATGTGCAAAATATACAATAGTATTTTCAGTAAACTATTTTATTGCTCATGCGTTTGGAGTAATACTTCTCAAACAAATTTAAAAATGTTACAGACAGTCCAGAATTTTTCCTGCCGCATAGTAAGTGGAAGAAGGAAATACGATCACGTGTCTGCAACTTGAAAGGAACTACGCTGGCTGCCAGTGAAGTAGCATCTTTACTACCGTGATGCCGTAATGTCATTTAAGTGTTTCACTGGATGTGCTCCTGGATATTTATCTACACAATTCATTAGACGATGTGATGTCACAAATCGTAGAACGCGAAGTTCTCAAATGTTTAACATACCTCGCTTTAGAACAGCAAGTGGCCAAAGGACTTTTTTCTACAGCGCAGTTACTTTATGGAATTCCTTATCTAACGATCTTAAACTTTGTGAATCGGTTAATGCGTTTAAACGCCGCCTTAGGTCTCGCCTCTTAAGTCAGTAACCTTAGCACTTCCGCTATTTAAGTCATTGCTCTATTTTAAGTCTGGTATATAATTTTTAGCTTAATTGTACAATTAATTTTTACCTAAATTGTATTGCCTCTGAAAATCCTCTTTGGGGAAGTGGTAATAAAGTATGTATGTATGTATATATATATATATTTTTTTTTTTTCAATACTCCTAAGTTGATCATACTGCACCACAAACTTAAGTTCTGACCTACCACTACAACTGTACCATTAGCTTACATTATCCATCACATCAACACAAGACAAAGCGATTTACGACTTTACCTGTGACCTTCCTCCATTATTAAACACCCTGGTCGCATGTTTGAGCATGTCAGTAAACCTTGTTGTCGGATCTGAAGGAGAGTCACTAGTAGCATTTAGTTCAGCCACAACCAATTTAAGTATTTCAGACTGGGTGTACTGTGTAAGTTCAATGTCCCTCCTGGCCGTCTCCCCGACAGTGATCACGCCCACGTGCGTCTTGGCGACGGAGATTGTGAAAGCATTGATCATGGTGAGGACGAAGTTCTTCTGTTGGCTGTAGTCTGATGAGGATAAGTCTGACGAGGAGTCCAACGCGAAAACCACATCCATGGGGAATGGACACGCTGAAATTGGAAGAAAACAAATTTGTTTTATGTTTGTGGGAGTAAGAAACGGCCAGATTACCCTCAGCGAGGTTACCGATTATACTGAAAAAAAGTTATAATATTTGAAACTATGACGTATAAGGTGGCATATATACGAAGTGGCTCATCATTCAACGATTGTTTCAAGGTCAAAAAGGGAGTTTGGAGTGTTTTCTTACACGAAGGGAAGTAAGACAAGCTGGAGAAAAGCCTTCTGAGCATAGAGGGGAGTCAACAACAAATACTACCCACATGCGGGTAGAATACCAGGTTCAAGACTCGAACCCAAGCTATAATAAGTAGGCACCGAGTGCTTTAACATCGCGCTGTCTCTGCTCCTGGTAAATCATTTACTGGTTTGGCACACCATGTTCAAAAGCATAAAGAGGGGTGTCAGTTTACCGAGGGTGGGGTGTCTAGGTCTCTTAGCTGTCACCGCATTTTAGTTATTTTTTTATGGCTGGCACAAAGGTAAAGCAGGCTATTAAAGAAGCAAAAAACTAAAACAACTTGAACTGGCTGCCTACCTGCAGGAATGGAACACAAAGGCTCCACTAAAATCAATCCCCTGGTCGGCTTACAGCGACCACACCAGCCTCCACACTTGGCAGACACCACCGCACCATCAGGTGACTTCTGGTAATTCTGAATCTGCAAACCATTCGGGAACCCCTGCAACGTCCAGCTCACATCATCCCGAACTCGAAGTCTCGTCCCCCTCAAGTCAACCTTAAACTGCCCCTTGCGACATTTTCCAGTATTCACCGAGTAGCAATCCCCTGCTGTGCCATACGGGATGTCTTTACCCTCCAGAGTCTGTGCAAAGGTGAAGTCACTACTCATAATTTTCATGGTTGCGATATCAAGGCGCACTTTAGAGAAGTTCGTTGAACCTCGCTCAGCGTACAACTCTGTTCGCGCGGGCCCACTACAGCTGTACCTATCCTGGAGCCGCTGATGATAAATAATAGCGAAGTTGTTCTCGGCACCAGACTCCAAGGTGATATACTCTTGTGGCGTGTTGGACGCCATGTTGTGACAATAGATTCGAGTCGGATCTTTACATCTGTCGCTTATATGAAGGAGGTAATGGCCATCAGAGGAATACCCGGATGCTTTCACTTCTGCGCAGCTGCGAAACACTGTTCAAAATTGACACAAAAAGGAAATTTTAGGTAATTGGTGTTGTTAATCAGTACAATCTTTGGCGTAAGCCCTATAAGAAAGGATTCTCTACCTTTCGATTAAGAACCAAACGTATGCGAACAGCAAACGTGTTTGCAGTAAAGATAATTTAAGAGCATTCTTGTATGCGTAAAATGACGCACCTTTACTGGCAGTGTAAGGCAATTTCTTGGCCTCCTTCTTATCTTTACCAGGTTTGGTTATAACAATGAGGTCATTCCCCGAGGAGACGTTGTTCCATTTTTCTATGCCTGGCTCGTCCGTGAAGGCAAACACGATGACCTTAACAGCATTGCTTCTTAACTTGGCGACCTCGCTCTTGATCTCCGCAGAATTCTCATCAAAGTTGCCCTGTGTCATCACAACGAGGATGTCCTCAGCAAACGGCCGCGCGCCGTTTTGAAGAGTGAACACCTCATCTCGTACTTTGCTAAAAGCCTCGCTGAGTGTTCCAGGTCGACCCCCAGGTCCTGGTAAGCTACTTGCGATCCTTTTAAAGATGGCTCTGTTGTAACCGTCGCTGAATAAGGCCCTGGTGGTGGCAGGACCATTATAGTCTACTAGTGCAACACGCGTTTTTTCGTCAGATACCTCATATTCATCAACAATATCTTTTAAGATGGTTACCATTCTTGCAAAGACTGCGGACGCTTGAGGTCCAGAGGCGCCGAAAACAAAAGCAAGGTCGGTGGCTTTTTCTGAAAATTTGAAGACGAGAAATCAAAATCGTGGGGATATGAAAACTAACCGCTGGTAAGTCTATGCATGAAGTCTGGATCGGGTGTTTTCAAACATGGTTAAGCTAACCCAGGGTTAGTGCACATTTTAACTGAGTTTTAGGATTTCAGACAGACTTAATGCTTGCAACTTACTTTCACTATGAGCGGATAAAACCCCAAGATTTTTTGCCATAATGTACGGTTTTAAACGGGACAAACCTAGACTAAGCTTAATTGCGTATCCAACTTTTGTCCTAAACAACCTGCGACCAGTCCCCAAATGACAGTCCTTCGCTTCACACTTAATTGTTCATCACATTAGAGGATTTAGGAATAATTTGACCAGCAGCCAGCAGACTCGCTTGTCCGGGCGGGTCAGCTTCGTAATATCTATTTAATTATTAAATAGATAAAGAAGCTAAAGACATTAAATACCAGAGATAAAGGAAATTAAAGAACACCACATAGATTAAGTGTATAATAAGGTAATTATATACGGAAGAGCGGTAAGAAACTTAAAATGTGATTCATTCCTTTTTATTATTACACGACTCGGGCAGTCAGAGGGCCAATAACTAAAATCAACCAATCAAAATGCTCTATTGCCGGTCAATATTCTCTCAGTATTGGACCGGGCACTGTCCCGAATGGTCCCGAATGATACCGCACTTGTGTCCCTTTGAACTTCAGTCGTATAATAAATCTCTTATTAACCAAGCTTGCTCGGGACCGTACTGGAAGAAAATCGGCCCTCGGTCTTTTCTATACGGACCTCGCTGCGCTCGGTCCTTACTGTCGAGACCTCGGGCCGATATTCTACCAGTCCGGCCCTCGCGCTTGGTTAATAAGAAATATATATATATATATTACAGTCTTTGAGCTTTAAAATAACATTTTCAATGTTTTCAATAACCTCATCTTCTCCAGCCCCCCTTCAACCCCGCTAGATGGATAAAAAGTGAAAGAAAAAATAGATTACCATAAATCAAATTCCTTCTAAAAGTTCTGACAAAGCAATCAAACAAAAAGGTGAAGAAGTATCCCAAAATACTCACGACAGATTCCCGCTGACACTACAGTGATTATCCTTTGTTTCCTACAAGCCTTGCCCTTCAGAGCACATCCACTTGTGTACGTCACCATGTCACTTCCACAAACCGGTTTAAAGGGTTCCGCTGTACAGTCATCCATGCACTGACACAGAGCGGTGTCATTAGGTAATGCTTGGCACTCGGCGTTGTAGTCACATACGACATCATTACATGGATCTACAGAAAAGAAACCCGGATGGATGGTCAGCGATATACTCCCTTAATCAAAGAAACCAATAAAAGATTCATAGTTAAATCGACATGTTTCGTCCTATAGATAAAGTGGTGCAAATCATTCTACTTGACGACCGCTGACGTCGTCAAGGTAACGATTTTTTGAGGCCACTTGCACCCACGTTGCTTGTTGATGAAAGTTTCACAGTATATGCATAGTTAGTTGAGGAAACTGACTAGGTAAGCTGGCAGAAATCTGAGATGAAAATAATGATAGTGTAGTTAACGTTGGCAGCGTCCTAACAGAGCACAACCTTTGGTTTTTGTGTCAGGTCAGTGCTTGCGCTTTACGACTGAATTAATTGACCGGAAGGTCTAGGATGTCACTTAAAGAATAATGATTGGAATGCTATAGAACGTTATGCAAGACCAGATCCGAAAAAAACTGATGAAGACCCGACAAAGAGATCAGAGGGATTTCCTAACCATTTACCTCCACTGATTTTGCTTACAGATTACAGTTACAGCAACTATTTCATGTAAGCATTGTTGACATGACTCTAACAGAAAGCTTGAATGAGTGACGTTTCATTCTTCAAGACATCGTGAACATTGGAAAAGGTCGAGAAGATTGGTAGAAATAATCGACTCACAGTTTATATAAAGCTAAGTAGGCGTCAAGTAATTTTCGAGCGCAATATCATAGGAAAAATAACCAAGATTAAGACTTACTACAAAGGCCACTGTACTTAACAGTGATTTGTTTCTTCATAACACAAGCGTGACGGCGAAGAAAGCATTCAGTCAAGTAAGAATTACCATCACTACCGCACACCGGCTTGTAGATGTCGTGACAAGAACCAGGGCATGCGCAGTACGGGGTTTCACCATCCATAAGCTGGCAAATGCCATAATAGGGGCATTTGACTCCAGAACAGGGAGTTCGGTCTTTTAGGAAACGAGTTTGGAAAGAGAAAAGACAGAAGAAGGAAAACTGAGATGAAGAAGTGAGGGAAAAGTGAATTGGAAATAAGACAGAATTTTAAAAATTAGGAATGTAATCGGATTGTAAAGGAAAAACTGAAACAACTCGAGGTTTAGTACAAAAAAAAAAAACCAAGAGCGGAACCGAATAAAGTTAGATTTTTGTATTTTTCGTGGAAATCTGAAGACGAAATAAAATCTACTGAAACTAAAGTGGTGTAACATAAAATATGTTCGGACGTGGCCGGAAGGAATAGGAAATTTAGTAAAAGAGTCGTTAGAGGATGTAAAAAGTGGAATATACAAGAGAACTTACTACATCTTTCAAGAAAAGCAACTGAAGTATTTTGTTGCATGAAACAAGCCTCCCTCCTAAGAAAACACTCATTCCAATAAGTCCTTGAATTAGATCCGCACACAGGACGGAAAGATGAGGAACAGAGAAGAGAGCATGAGCAAGACGCCGTGCCATCCTTTTGGGTGACACAGTTGGCGTTGTACGCACATTTGGATAAAAGACAGTCACCTAAAAGAAAAGAAGACAATAGGCCAAAACTACAAAAGAAAAAACTGCAAGAATGAGTGTTTGGAGATGATTTCGGATGGTTGCGATAAACACAAGAGCTTTTCAAAGTGGAAATTAATGTCAAAGAGAGCCAATGAGAAATAATAGCAAAAAGATGTAAACAAACAGAGAAAGCAAATGAAGAAGTCTCAACTAGTTTACGTTTTGCAACGAATGTGGTTGAGTAGGACTGGTGGCTAGAGTTTTCTTGACCTATCACACAGCGCAGAGAAGTAAAACCAAGACAATCTTACAAGTCTTACGAAACTCGATTGAAAATAAAAATGCTTCTACATGGATGAGATGAGATGGATGAGAAATGAGATGGAAGAGAGGTAGGGAAATAAGTACGACAAAACAAAACTTTTGAGTAGCCTCTCGGCAAAGATAACATAGGACGGTTAGGGAACTCAATTAAGGTAAACAACAAGTTGCCAAGCGTAAGATATTCAAACAACCTTAGCCATAGTTCTTTTGGTTCATGTCTTGAGTAAGTTCACGAGTAGGAATTCGTACTATAATTGGGAGTAATGTCGCAACATGATTGGCCATTTTGCCGTTGTCGATAAGAGTGCTGAAAACACTGCCTGCGTCAACGTGTCGCTCAACGTGTCAAACAACGGAAAAAGTCGTTGGATTTGACGTCGATGTTTGGGTCAAAAAGCAAATCGACAGTGATTAAGCGTGGTCTGTACTCTTATCGACAACGATATTGGTTATCAGAATGGTCAAAAAAATTGTTGCGGACTCACAAACTCAGTACAGACTACACTAAACCACTGTCGATTTGTTAAATCTAAAGACGCACCGAACTTCCTCCTTACCGATCAAAATAACTAATGTTATATTTTTAACCAGTACATCCGGCTTTTTCACATCAGGTACAGGGTCCACTATAACTTTGTTTTCGTGAGGTGGAATTTTGATGCCGTCAGGTCCGACTTCCCGTCCAATAGCAACTGGGATTACCTTCAATTAAAAAAAAATATAATCTTGCTTTGTCATTTGCACCACTCAAATTAAGATACATTTGTTGTTTACTTGAATTGGGCCTAGTTTCTAATCAGCCTCTATAGGCCTGTCTGCGCGATTCTGAGTTCATCTGAAGCCCGGGTTGAATTACTACGAAAAGGGCTCAATTTTCCTATGTGTTCTAGCATATAGTGAGTCGAGTCAGCCCTTCTGCCGACCACAAAACCTACAGGCATGGCTATAAAGGTGTCAAAAAAGTCAAATACGAATGAATGGTAGTACCTTATGGTGTACAGACTAACAAAAAATAAACGAAACAAAAAATAAAAAGGCAAGAAGAATTAGACTAAAGCAAACTCGGTTACTTCAGATTACCTGTCAAACCGTGGTCAGACGGGGACTTAAAAAAAGACATGGATAATTTGCATAAGATAGCAAAGAAAGTGTGAAAGTAGAACTTCTGGCATGCCAGCTTCTCATAAACAATACAAAGTGTGTTCGGTTTATTATAGAACTTAATCAACGACAATGAATATAAGAAAATCATTTGTGTGAACTGCGGTGAAGATATGAATATGAAAACGATCTTCGCAGAGATGAACACTACTATACAGTAGTAACGGTGCAGTGTTCTAAAAAAAAAAAAAGTCTTTTTATAGGATAACACAATTACTGGTGAACCAGTAGTTTCCATTGTGGTCCTTGCAAACAAATGAAACAAATGGTCTAAATTGAACATAACATCATTAAGAACATGATTAAGAACCCCAACCGGCCGGAGGCAAACCAGTTGGCTATTTACAAGCGTGGCCAAGGATCTGAACTCGGGGCTACCGTGAAACAAATCCAGTGGTCAGGGTGGGACT